AAGTTCCAGTAGAATAGAGATGACATGTATAATTGTTTTGATTTGTCCTCACACTAATGAAATTTAAGAAGAAAAGCATACTTGAATCAATTTTTTTATCTTTTTGAAATGGATAATATATTTCAATATATGAAAAGACATTACAAAAATCAATCACACACATCACACATAACACGTACTATACGAAACACAGCACCATAAATAATCGATTTCATGAGTAAACTTGAATGAAACTTGTTGACGGTCAAATTTCGTCAACTGAGTTACGCCAGGTTACCTCCTGGTATCTCATGAGGTTACCGGCCAAAATTTGATTGTGGAAGTGTAATTGATACTGTGAAGTGTGTGTTGTACTTTTGTGGTGGAGAATAACACGAAAAGCGATATTCAAATGTGAAGACACACAGGGTTTATAGTGGTTCACTCTGTTAATCAAGAGCTACATCCACTGTTTCGTTATATGTATTTTATGTTTTCCAATTACATGTGTCAAAGAAAAGAAGAACCTCTCAAGCTTGGGGCTTTGCAGAGCTTATATACAAAAAAGAATTCGTCTAAAGGCAGCTCTACGTCAAACCTTTTGTCCTAAAGTATCCACATGCTAGCGAAAATATACCAGAAATTTGGCGCCAGTTGAGTGGGGGAGATGCCGTGAAGGTCGCAAAAGTCCTTCACAAATGGATGAATGGGGAGAGTCATCCCTACAGTAATGGCCCGGGTATATACAGATAGATACCTTGAGGGAGCTGACTCGCCTTGTGATGAGGGTCTGGCAGGAGAAATTCAAACTAGCGACCATCCACGCGCCCTTTCTGGTACGAGTGGACGATGTCCATATTACGGGTCTTTGGCTCCATAAAGTCGGCCGTAAACCATGGCCGATCCTCGTCTGGCCCCACGAACGCGACTGGAACATTTGTATCCCGGCCGCTGATCCCAACGGCGGAGCCCCCGATCAGGGAACCACCAGAAGAGGAAGCTTCGGCGGCATGTCCTTCATCACTACCGTCGATCATCCGGTCCACACTGTCTTCGTTATCCCTCGAGTTCGGGATGTAGTCCTCGACATCCCTTAGGAGAAGGTCGCTGGCAGTATGAATAAAGGAAGACTCCGCAGCCGGAAACGGATCCGGCCTGACAACAAGTACTCCCCCTCGACGTAGCCTTCTTCTAGGTGCCATTACTGTGAAGAAAGAACCTAAGGTTAGTGCTATAAGTCGAGGGGAAGGAAATTTAGAGCTAGGAACTGAGGCGTCGACTATTCAACTAAGGCGTCGACTATTCAACTAAGACGCCGATCATTCAAGCGCGACGACGACTGTTCAAGCTAAGTCCAGAATATTAAACAAACCCAAAACTGCTCAAAGTCCCAGTGGCTACTCTAAAACTTCGAATAAAGGTTAGAATAGTTCCTAATACTCCTATTATACCCATTTTTAGTCATTTCTCCGTGTTTGAAGGATCTACCAGGAGCCAGGATAGATTAAATGCGGTAAAAGTAAGATGGGTAGACAGGAAATCCTTACCAGGAGTTTAGAAGCGAGATGAAGGCACGGGCTCTGGGAGAAATATCACCGAAGAACGTAGCGAGTCCTGTGAGAATTTGGTAGAGTTTTGGCAAGACAGAGGAAGTTTGGAAAGTTTTGGCCTACTGAGCGCTTATAAATATGACAGCCTTCAATCCCCAATCGCTCAATCGTGTGCAAGTATATCCAACGGCAGAGGCATAAGGCCTTGATCTTACGATTAGG